TAAAGCTCAAGACCAACCAATATATCCAGGGAAATAGAGCTGGCAAACTATTGTCCAGAAGATTGGTGCAGAAATCCCATACATTCTTACACAATCTGGAGAGAAGAGAGTGACCCCCAACTACATTAGCAATGTATTTGCAGAATATTATGAGTCCCTTTACAACTTCGAAAAAGACCCAGCAACACCCCAACCCATGATGATCAGGTGGGATTCACTCAAGGCAGGCAAGGCTCAGACAACACGCGGAAATACATCAGCCTTATGCACAGTTTACGCAAAACTAAACACGGAGGTCTTTTGATCTCTCTGGATGCAGAAAAGGCAAATTGGCCCTTCCTTGACGCGGTACTCAGCAAAAACCAATTCCCACCATCCTTCATTAATGCAGTCCATGCACTCTATTCATGCCCCACAGCAAGGGTCCTCAACTCAGGGTTTATCTCGAAACAAATGTGCATTACAAATGGCTCCAGGCAGGGCTGTCCCCTTACTATATGAATTGGCCTTAGAGCCCCTGGCAGCCACCATCAGAGCAGACCTGTCATCCATGACATCCCTCTTGGGAATAGAGAATACAAACTCAACCATTTTGCAGACAATGTCCTAGTGAAAGTAACACAACCCCTCACATCCTTGTTAAACCTAATGTCACAAATTAATACATATGGTGCTATATCATACAAACTGCAACTTCACAAAAAACCAAGTTCTCAGTATCCATATAAAGCAAGACTTAATAACTAGACTGCAGGAAACATTCCCTCTGGACTGGTGAAGTGATCACTTGACCTTCTTGGGTCTCAAACGTACAAAAAAATCATATGTTCGGTTACTGAATAAATTTGCTCAAGTACTCAAGTCATGGAGGGGCCACTACCTCTCCTGGCTAGGGTGCATAGCAGCAATTAAAATGATGCTCATATCCAAAGTCCAATACCTCTTTAGAACACTGCAAATATCTTTACCAAAACAATACCTGAAGAATTTGCAACACACTCTAATATCCTTCATCTGGTAGGAGAAAAGAGGAAGGGTAGGATCGAAACTTCTCCAACAGGTGGTGGGGGACTTGGCTGTTACAGAGCAGCCTTCCTCCACAGTATAGCACAACTTAACCAACCATTTATAGCACCCCAATGGGTCAGATAGGAATCCCATTGGTCATCCCCAAGGGAGATCAGATTACTGCTATGGATGCCAAAACATTCCAGACCACCCCTTTGCAATTTACTGTTTATTACACAGACCATGTGCCAAATGTGGGATGCAGTGAGGAATAGATTGGTGTTGGAACCTCAGATACCACTAGCCACACCAATAAAAACAACAGACTACCTGATCCCGACATTTAAATGGGAAACATGGGCGGAACAAGGAGTGCGCTTTGTACATCATGTTTTTAACAGAGGCCACCTGTGTCCTTTCCCGAGGTCCAGGCCGAGTTCAACCTTCCCCACAGGGCTCTTTTCTCATATCTCCAACTAAAATCATACTTGATAGACAAACTATGCATATCACAGAACCCCACTTCTGCAAAGCACATGTCTAAATTTGAGGAAGTTTGTCCTAGCCTCTCCCCCACTAAGAAAACCATGTCTCAGAGATACACGCTGTTCAACAGGAAAATGGAACGTTCTCTAGAAATAATCAAGAGCACATGGCACTGGGATCTGGGATACACTATAGAGCACCGCGACTGGGAGAAAACATTCACAAGCCACAAAGATTTAACAGCTTGTGTCTCCCACCTGAACTCCAGTGCAAAACTCTATACCACTGGTACTTAGTGTCATACAAAATGCACTGAATGTGGCTGGCATCTAGTGACATTTGTTGGAGGTGTGGGCGATCGGTAGGCACTATGCTCCACATTTGGTGGTCATGCCACACACTCCAACCCTTATGGACCAACAACGCAAACCTCTTGCAAAAAATATTAGCCACACCTCAGATAGATAACCCAAGGATCTGTCTTCTGTTCATGCTGCCAGAAGGCCTTCCAAAACAAACCTGAATCATCCTTTACCACACCTTAATGCGTGATTTGAGGCTAGGACGGAGGTTCACCTTCTAGCAGGACAATGACCCCAAACACACTGCTAAAGCAAAACTTGAGTGGTGTAAGGGGAAACATGTAAATGTGTTGGAATGACCTAGTCAAAGCCCAGACCTCAATCCAATAGAAAATCTGTGGTCAGACTTAAAGATTGCTGTTCATAAGCACAAACCATCCAACTTGAAGGAGCTAGAGCAGTTTTGCAAGGAGAAATGGGCAAAAATCCCAGTGGTAAGATGTGACAAGCTCATAGAGACTTATCCAAAGTGACTTGGAGCTGTAATTGCCGCAAAAGGTGGCTCTACAAAGTATTGACTTTAGGGGGTTGAATAGTTATGCACATTGACTTTTTCTGTTACTTTGTTTGCTTCACAATAAAAAAAAATCTTCAAAGTTGTGGGCATGTTCTGTAAATTAAATGATGCAATTCCTTAAACAATCCATGTTAATTCCAGGCAGCGAGGCAACAAAACACGAAAAATGCCAAGGGGGGTGAATACTTTTGCAAGTCAGTGTATGTAACAGTAGTCACCATCACTGAGGATGGAAGACAGACACTATCCCCAGATTCCTCTGTTTGTGCAGGGTATGTTGAATGTATTGATTGTCTGTGCCTTTCCCCCTCCCATTTTTCCTGTCCTATTTTTTCCTCAGCAGGGCATTGTCCCTGGGACACTGCTAGACCAATTTAAACTAGCTGCCCTGTCCCTCCTTAATATCCAATTTGGTTCTCAGCCCTTGCTTTTGTCTGGCCCCACTATAGTACTATGGTGCTCTTTGCACCCTATTCTATGTAAATGAGGCTGTTGGGGGCATAAATATATGTATTATGTATATTAAAGTTAGTTGCTGTTTTAACATTCACCTAGTGTTGTCCGGTGTTTGGGGAAAGGGATATAACCTGCTGATGAAAAGTGTGTCTAGGGCTATAAACACAGCACCCTGGTTCAGGTTGGAAAAGGTCCTCAGTGATCCTTGTCAAGCCTCAGCGACTGGGTCTGATAGGGTGCCTGATAGCTACGAGGAAGCAGACTTGGCGGAGGTACTGGAGCTCGGTCACAGCTTGTTTTCATGTTTTGTTCTATTTCAATATGTTTTAGATTATATAAAACTTTAAAAATATACACAGTTTTAATTATAATAATACTCAGTAGCACATTTCAACTTGAAACCTGGGCACCTTAATAAATTTGTGTCAATATCGTGCGCCAATTAATTAATTCTGAACATCTATATGACTAAAACAAGATAAAATATCCACAAATCATACACAATTAACTGCCAAACCACATTTGCTTGATAGTTTCTTTATTACATCAAAGAAACAATTAGATTGACATAAAACGTCTAGCAGTAAATGAATGGTTGATGAATTGAGATGTGCAGAGAGAAGAAACTGTGTTGTAGAAAGATGAGTTTAGTTTAAAGCTTGTTCTTAGGTCTTACAATCCATAAAGTTTATTTCTGAAAGAGAATACATAATAAAGAATAAGGTAGTACAGTATGTTAGTATGCAGTAGCTTACATTTAAAACAGCTACATACAAATTGAGAAAATAATTTATGTAATAAGATTCTTTTTATTTGAAATATGTTTGTTTTTCTTAAAGAGATAATTTTTTAGCTTTGTTTCCATATTACAAAAAAAGCAATGTCCAATGGTGACATCACAGTGTATGCTTTATTAAAATGTCTTCAGTGTAAAAAGCAGCAATGTTTCAACTTTCGACAACAAGTTTCACAAAGACCACAGTTGTGGTTGAAATGTTGCTGCTTCTTACACTGAAGACATTTTATTAAAATATTTGTGCTGAAAACATTTCTTTATTGTTTGTATGTGGATCAGTTAAAGGCAGAACTGGGTTTCTGTGCATCATTTGGGTAGGTGCTCTTCCCCTTGTAACATGTTTTGTGATTGGATAATGGCAGAGCTGTATTACCCAGTAACAGCTGCCTAGGGCCTGGACTCATACAGGGACCTAGAGCGTTGGATGTGAGCAGGTATTCCCTTACTCTAAGGTTCGGCATATGTAATCTCTGTCTTTCATTTTACTTACTAGCTGTCAGGATTAACCAAGCAAGCATTTACACCCACACCACTCAGACTCCTCTACACACACCAGTCAGGCACACTCAGACTTCCCTACACACATACACAATTCATTGTCCACACAGACACAGTCAGTCTCCCATGATACAGCTCTCACCCTCCTTGACACACACATACAGTCTATCAGACACAACAGTCAAAACACACACCTTTTACAAAAACAAAGCCCATGGCTCTAGGAGATGACCCCGATCTGGCATCCTACCTAAGGCTGTGGGCAATCTTAATCTGACTTTGAATAAGTCTGTTGTACTAAGGACTAGATTAAATATTGTTGGATACATTTTCCAAATGATTTAATATTTTTTTAAAAAAATTAAAATATTTTTTTCTACATATTAAAACGTGTGTATATAAATATATATATATATATATATACATATATATAAATATCAATATAACAAAACATATCAATATAGTACAAAATTCTAATATTTTCATAATATAAAAGTCATTTTAAATCTTTATCCAAAAATATTAAATAATGTGGAAAACTTCAAATAATATCATACTAAGATAAAGTTACTTTATACAGCTAATTTTCTTTAGTTTGTCATTTCAAAGTCGATTGTGAATTCATCAAAACATACTCAGTTTTAAATTACTTCAGTGATAATTAAAATGCATAAACTTAACTGTATTAAATCGAATATAAAAGACATTTTGTAAATAGTTTAATTTTACCAAAGATTAACCATGTGATCTAATTATGAAATAATAATGTATTAATATATGATCCCAACTCATAGAACTAGATTGAATATCACAATATAATAACAGTATTCATAAACTTACATAAAAATGTTCGATGTAATTTAGTCCGATAACTGAATTATGCTTTTTGCTCCGCAAGATCTCCAACGATGTTAGATACAATTTTCTGCAATACATATAAAATATGTATCTTATAAACAAATTGAATTTTTTTGCGTTGTAAGTCGAATCTGGGACTACATACAGGTGAAATTAACTCTTTTTTTTGTAAAATATAATTAATAACTCATGTTGTCAGTATATTGGCAGAAATGTTATGTTAATATAGAAATTAAAAATGGATACTGCAAATCACCATTAAGATGGAGATGACTCCATTTTGTAACAGAATACAAAAAGACAGACACATTTTTTTTACTACTCTGTAACTCTATTCATTCAAGCAAAGGCATGCATCTAACGTAAACACTGGCCAGAGTTAAGACTCTCTACAGCAAGGTGGGTTGATAGAAAAAGCAACAGCCCAGAAACATACATATATCCAAATATAAACTAACTATAATTATGTTTAATCATATATAAATAGTAACTCAGTTAATATAATGGAATATTCATGGATAGAATATCAATGAAGACATGTCATATTATTAAACTAATATAGCTGAATTTGTAAGAGACATGTGTATGTCACATGCTGTCACATTACTAACTATGTAGCTTCAGACAAGAAAACCAGACACAGAATTACAGATAACACTAAAGTAATTAATTTAACTTTTTAAATATTAAGGATCTGATGCAAAGTTTCATTGTGGTAAGAGGGTGAAACCAAGGCTAAGATGTGTCAAAATCAAATTTTATGGACCAATAGGAGACAGTCAGACTGAGAAAAGCCTTTGAAGTCTGACAGAGTTTGATGGACGGTTATGCAAAAGGATAACCAAGATGACGTCAAATGCATCACAAAATTCAGTTAACCCCTTATATAGAGTGATAATTCTTGTGGTATTTTGATGCCATCTACTGACCAAAATCTAGATGATAGGCTGTAGGGAGGACACGCCCGCCTTACTCTATTGGTCACTGAAACTAATGACATCAAGGAAGAATCTCCTTTAAAAATTAAGGAAAAAGGAGAGAGAGGATCTTGGATCTTAGATCTAACATCTGGATCCAAAGCTGGACACATCTAACTCTATGTATATTTTCCACCCAACACCTAACTTTGAAATTCTTTAAAATTCAGAACTCTTCTTTTCTATTTCCTACAATTCTCATTCACACTTGCATTCACCATTTTATGGAATACATCTCCAAACCTGAAAAAGAAATTCTACCAAGAGCTGATAATTATGCTGGTTTTATTTAATTTAAATTAATTTTTTTTTTCTTTTTTTTTACAAAAAGCCAAATATACCTGGATGAAGGTTGGTCAGGTTTCTAACTTAGAAATCATAATTACCTAAGGAATTTATGGTTATATAATAACATTCCTGCAGGTGGAATAATTAAACAATATATTCACTGGTAATTTGCTAAATTTAGAATATTAAACTTTTATCCAGAGATATTAACGTATTCTAAATTAAGGATAGTAATCTTTAATTAGGAAAGTTAAAATTCTGCTATGGTAATTATTCTTATTGGTTATTGGATGAGAATGAATGGTTAACTGATCTGGTATGAGAAATATTGTATTTGTCATTGCACTAAAAAAGGTTTTTTGCCTGAGAATTGTAGCCAGCAGTAAATATTAATTAATTCAGTGTGATTTAACTGCCAGCTAAAAGTTTTTATTGCTTTACGCTGTGCTGCTGTGATGATGGGAAGAGTCCAGTGTTAAGGAATGTTTAGCAAGCTGATTTCAAAGAGAGTGTCCTGTCGTAAATCTGTTGAAATTTGCATCAATGTGGATATGTTACTATTGCTATCGGAACTGTGTTAAACTGCCATATTGTATTCTTATGTTTTACCTAAATATTCACTGATTATTTTCACGCATGTTCCATTTATTATTATTATATTTATTGTCACAAGAAATTATATTTTTATAATTAGTTTGGGATTAACGTGTGAAATACAAATCCTCTAATAAAATGTACTCCAGGATCTATAAGAGTTAAAAAATAGTGGTTAGCCTTTAGCTTTAAATTAATCAAGGGGAACAGTGCCAATATATAAATTTTTTATATAATAAAAATTATTAAATTACATTTTCATAATTTTTATGAAATATTATTTTTAATATGTATCACCCTATAAATATCCTCACATTGTGACTTTGCAAGGTTTGGCATCAGCAGTGTTTTTCAATACTAAGTATGTACATGTGCATGAGTACATAGTGAGAAAGAAGCCTTTAGATTCATTTGTAACCTTTTCATGTAAGCAGAATTTTTGGTTAAACCTACGATACATTTGGAAAAATCAACCATCTGACAGCCATTTTTATAGCTTGCTAAAATGTGGGGTTTTAAAGCAGCACTTTCACCTCCCCCCACCCCCCACCCCCTAATTTTTTTTTTTTAAATTAGTATTTCATAAAGATATAATCTTTATGAAATGCTAATTTTGACTGTGTTGGAATCTTCATGAAATTCCAACACAATCAACATTTGTTTTTCATAAAGATTCTATCTTTATTCTATTTACTGAAATTTCAACCAAGTCAAGAGAGAATCAGAGACAAAGTAGGGACTACTTTGTCTCTGTATTTCTCCACCGCCTGACATTCTTAGACTTAGGGTGGAGTCTAAGTGTCAACCCCAACAGCCATCACCAGTGACCCCTGCAGAGAATTAGCTGTGTCTTTCAAGGATCCCATGGTTCCTCCATAGATTTCAAAGCTGTACTCTCGCACACAAGATGGTGCACAAGATGGCGGTGACTACGAGAGACAGGTTCAGGTATGTAACTATCTTTTAGCTGTTGCCACTGGAATCTCAAGGGCAATGTCACCGTTGGGGGTCTTTGCAAATTTGTGTGACACTGCTGCTTTAAAGTATTTGTAATTATAATTTTTTAACTTGTTGTCCAACTAGCAGCTATTAGCATGCAACATAAATGCACAGACTCAGCTCAGTTTTAGGATACAGCAATCATGCTATGTACATTGTACTTGTAACACAATGGCTATATTTTTTTTTAAACCACCTGACTTGGATAGTTTTTAATCAATAGCAGTAATGCAACTTGAATATTATTTTCTGTTTAGTTCTCTGATTTAATTTTCTAGTTCATTCGTCAGTAACAATGATGAACACAATCATTTTTTATGGCCAACTTCTCAAGAGTTAAATGCTTAAATAAGGGGAATAAGCATGATCATCCCTCTAGATTATATGGTGATTGTTTTAAATTTTGATATTGCATTTGAAAATGCCTTTGGTTACCCATCATTATATAATACTATATATTTTTATATTATTGTTTGTGGTTAACATTCTGTTATTCAGAATGTTATCTATTTTGTTTTGAACCATAAATGTATTTAAAGAATAATTTATTATTTATCATACCAAAACTTTGTCCACGTTTGCGATAAGATCAACCTGTAGGTAATAAATATAAGGTAAGAAACACAAAACATCAGACTTCTTATACAACAGAGAAGTTGTAATTAATAAAAATTTGCATTGAAATATATTATATGTTAGAGGACCTTAACTGTTGTAAAGTACATGTACGTTTTAATAGTAACTGCAAGCCTAACAACAGCTTCAACATCTTCAGTTTCAAGACCAAACTGTGTAACGTGGACATACTGGATCAGTTTTGGGACTTATACACTGCGACTGGAGAAACATCACATATATACCTCTAGGCATATATAAATAAAATATGTGGCCCAATTTGAGCTTTGTGCATGAGCCCAAAGACCATTCAATTTACATGTATAGCCCCAATCTGTCACCAAGGAGTGTAAGAAACATCAAGCTAAGACCTGTAGAGTTACCCGTTAGGGAATAAATGCTGAGTTGAAGGTCAGTGTCTACTGTTCCATCTGTACTGGTATGTCTATATTGTACTGTTTATATATACCACTAGTTGCACAGCATGGTGGAATATGTTGGAGCTGTATAAATACTTAGCAATATTTATAATAATTGATGATACTAAGGGGATTAAAGGTTTAGATTAGAGCAGTTTTTTTTGTTTTTTTAAATAGCTGTACAATATGTTAAATAAATATAATTTATAGATATAGTTTTATATTTTAAACAAATTCAATAAAGTTTTAGAGTGCATTTTAAACCTTGCACTCCGCCTTGATGACATTCTCAGTTAATTGGTTTAACCCCTTAAGGACACATGACATGTGTGACATGTCATGATTCCCTTTTATTCCAGAAGTTTGGTCCTTAAGGGGTTAAGTTAATCAATGTCAATTGTGGTGTAATATAAAGCATTATAAAAATATATTTTTTACTTACCAAAGCTTCACATCCAAGAATTCTGATGTCGTTAATGAGAGGTTTGTCGTTCTATTAATGTGAAATATTACAATATATTATACACTTGTATTGTTATATTAACATTGACTATATGCATGCATAATGTGATAAAAGTTGTCAAAATCCATATTTAATTTTTAAATCCATATTTAAATAAATATTTATTTAAAGAATTATTAAATAAAAGATTAATCAAGGTCCTGATATGAGAGAGCTCTTACACATGATCAATAAATAAGCAAGAACAATGCAATTATCTTACCAAGATGTCTCCCATGAAAGGAATGTCATCCTAAATGTGAAAAAAATATGTATTTTTAGCCTATAATGTACTTATAAAGCCAGGTAGATATACAGATAGAGAGGCGATTAGGTGTAGACTATATATTAAAAGCTTGTTTGCACCTTTTCAGTTCTATTAACTGCAGACAAACGGAAATCAATGTTCTAGTATTTTTCTAGTATTCACTCTAAAACAATTCCTCTCATTCTGTCATAAGACATTGTACATATTCCAGACAATTCTTACTTTCCACCAATTTAAAGTGAAATTAATAACTAAATCTCACCACTGTTTATACACTCAATATTCAGTACACCATATGTAAACGATACACATTAAACCCTGCAAACTAAGGACATTAAACCTACATTCACAGAGTTCTCAGTACTTCAACTCTCACCATCTGATTCCTACAAATGTAGCCTTCTTTGATGTAAAGTCAAATACCTAACTACCCACCTACCTCTTACCATTGTTGCCTATCTAGCCGTAATACATATATCCAATATAAAGCAACTTTACCATGGGCTCTAGGAGACAAATCCCTCTCTTCTACCTATTGGTATCTACTTGGAATCAATTCTAGCTTCTACTGCCTTTTTATTATTTCAGACAATTTTTGACTTGTTGTTTCCTATGGTTGCAGATAATTTTCTTGATGCAATATTTTTAGAGCTCATGCATCTTGTAGGATTGCTTGTATAAGCCTGTCCTTGTGTTTTTGGCAACTACTTTTTTCTCTTTGTATTCTAAGACTTATGTAAAGGCTTGGACATATTCAAGAGTTAAAGAGTCAATAGCACACAGCAATATGTGATTACATTTTTGTTTGATGGTAGACTTACAAGACATCTTTGCATAAAAATACTGTAGATGCTAGATGCTAAACTGCCCATTAATGCTAAAATGAATTAAAAATGTAATTGGAATGTAAGTGTTGCCATAAAATATTGGGATTAACAATGGCAAGTCACAAACCAAATATAGAAATATGAAATTGACCATGCATATAAAACTGCCTATAATTCATTTTACACACTATGTTACATTTCTCCACATCGTTGTCTCTATCCAACAAACTGTGCTAAATATTATTAACTACATTTAATTTATGTTAAAAAAAATATGATAAAAGCATACTAATTTAAAATAATAATAATTCTACTTACCAAAACTTTGGTAACTTTCAACAAGATGGTTTGCTAAATGTAAAACAAGATGGTAAGTGCAGTAAAATTACCATTATAATTTTGTATTTCACACAATGTATAAATCCCGAGAAACACTAACACAGTTCAAAAAAAATAATCATTTAACAAAGTATTTGAGTGATGCAAATGTCAGATTGTATTGTTTCTAAAGCATGTATTTCTATTCATTCAAAAACTAGATTGACTAAATGATAATTTAATAAAATCTAATTAATCAAATTTTCTTTGCTTTTCAGGTTATTATATATCAATACTGAGGATTAAGATATATACAGCCTGGATTGTTTAAACTGCATAGTGTGTTTTAGTGTTTTACACTAAAAGTGAGAATTGTTGGGAATTCAAAGTGAATTTACAATTTAAAGTCAAAATAGCTGAAATTGGTAAATTCTCAGCTATGCTTCCAATTTGGCTACTTTGGCCTTGAGAAGCTAAATAACTACTTTGACTTCACTTTAAATTTCCAACAATTCTTACTTTCGTTAATATCCCCATGAGTGTATTTTGTTAATTTTTATGTTCATATCATTTGCCTCATGTATTTTTTATTTACCAGAAATTGGAACAACACATTTGCAACTTGATCACCAAGAGCTTCAGCATTTTTGAGGTTAATTGTCTGAAAGAGAAGTAAAGTACAATTTACTATTTTCATAAACTGATAAATAAAAAAATTACCTTTTCAAATACAACCAGAGATAAATGGTTTACCCATTTCTCCATTGCAAAATATACTGCTCCTAATGTTTGTTGGGTCATGAATACCACCAAATTATAGTAAAATAGTAAAAATTATATTAATATTCTAATAATAATATTTATACAGTATATATGATCAGAGATAAAACTCTGATGTATTTATAATGAGTTTCAGAATAAGACTGGACAGTAATAAACTAAGTGAAGCTTAGCAGAATTTACGCAAAATTCACAAATGGCTATAGACAACGCATTTTTCATATGCCACAAAATAATTTCTGAACTATCATATACATATGTTAATTAAGTTATTTACCACATGTGTTCCAAGAAGATTATTGATGCTACAGCCAACTTTTTCCTAAAACATTGAAAAAGAAAAGGTATACTTAATAGGAACATGAGAGCACAGTTTATCCACTTTGAAGACAAAAACATCTACATCAGATTTTGTTGTGTTTAACAAAAATGTGTCAGGGATAACAAAATTGTGCCAGTTTTGGAATATTTTTTTTTTTTAAATTGCTGTGGTCCAATGATCTTGTGCACCTGGTGACTGAATTCGGAAGCTTCCAAGCCAGGAAGGCTATGTTGGTGATGAGGAAGCCCACCTCTGCATAGTGGTGGTGAGTTGCGGTCAACACAAAGGCTCAGAGGATGGCGCAAGACCGTCTGCCGCAGGGGATTCTCGTGCCTTCTCTTCTGTAACATCCCTTTGGGAAAGTGTGGGAAATGTGTGGGAGATAAGCGTGAGAGCGGAGTTTCTTGTTAGGACGGATTTGTGGAAACGCGTCTTGGCTTGCATGAGTCGAGATAAGCCTCCGAGCATGAAACTTTGCTCAGAATCTCTCACAGATGTGATCAAAGGTCAGGAGTAGCCAGTCCATGTTTGCATATACTGCTAAGGCACCTTTTGCTTTGACACCCATCAGAGCGGCCATTTTGGCCCGATATTCCCAAATCAAGGAGTGCTAAAGATTTTAGCAGGGGGACTGTAGCAATGCACCAGTGGTGGGCTGAGATAACCTGGCTCAGAGGGGGGGGGGTTTGGTTGCAGAGCTCAGGAGCCGTAAGCTCCAAGTTAAAGCTGAAGATCGGCCACCTCCTCGTCTTTGACTGAAGCATCAGACTGCAGGAAGGTCCAACACAGGCCATGTCTAGCGATTACTGGTATGACTGCAAGATTTAGCTGGCAAAGTGAGCACCAAAGTATAGTTTGAGGCTTTAAAACAAAGATTTCCCAGAGGAGCTACAGAGCCATGCAGCCATCCTGGTCGGCGGTTAGACCCCACCCCAGTTTTAGAATATTTAACCAGAAAACTGAATGCATTTTAATTAGTTGTTGATTTCTTAGTCTTAAGAGTATTGTGTGCTATTGTTACATATAATGTGGGTTTGTCGGTTTCAGTGATCTTAATAAGACCTCCAAAGGTGACATCTCTGCTTAGTGTGTGGTGGACACGGGGTACCGTGAAGTATACTTATACTTATGTTAAGCTGTTCCTTATAGCCACCACAATCTTCTTCCTGGGGCCCGTCTTCAGTTCCTGGTGCTTTTCCATGCATGAAAGTATAACAATGAGGTCTATAGTGTATCCTGTTTGACTCTCTGTAGACCCCATATGTTGATTTCCATAGTTGTTACCTGCAATGGTTGCTGGGATTTGATAAATGTTGATGGAAAAGCTCCTCCTCTACTACTACTTTATGTTATGATATATTTGGATTTCACTAGAATTTCTATGTAATTCCAATAAAGTTAGTATTAGTATTTCATATATATCATCTCTAAATTACTCAGGAGTCACTGTTAGCAACCCTACATGACCTGATGACCTATATTGACTTAATTAATACTGTATTAAACAGGAATGGTTTCCTGTTCATTTTGCTTCTGTCTGAGAGGCCCTTTGGATACCTCAGCATACACTTTATCTCCCACACTGATCTTTTCCTTCTTTTATTTATCTTTTTTTCCTTTTTTTGTTCGTTGCATAAAACTATTTTCTGTTGTTTTTTTTTTTATTTATTTTTTTTACATGCCCTTTCTTTACTCATGTTGCTAAAGTTTTGACATGATGTGGATATTTATTTTCTTGTCTGCTGTTTTTACCATCTACAGTAGGTCAATTTAATGATTTGATAGGTTTGCAATGTCATTTCTGCTGTGGTGTAGGTCAATATCCTGTACTACCCAAAAAATAATTGTTTTGCTTTGTTATGGTATGTAAACAACCCCAATGAATTTTGATTCACAAAAACAACACTAAAACTGGAGTAAAATTACCAGCACGACAATGTAGAATGTGACAATTGTACTTACAAGCATAACATTTACTTGTTGCAGGAAAGCTAGAAACATAGCTGCATTTTGGTCAGCCTGAAAGACAAGAAACATATGCAGATTTACACATTAACATTTGATAGTATAATGAAAGGATATTAATGAAACGTTTTACTCTAAAATGTAGTTTATCATACAGAAAACTATAGGAAGAAAATATGTATTTTTATTTGTGTGCCACAATTAAATGTTTTAGTTTTTTTTTTTAGCATATATTGCTATAAAAACACTTAACTGCTATTTTTTTCAAGGAATTGGTAAGAAAAAAATAAGTTCCAAAAATCTGATATAATGTAGTAGGAACATTATAAAATGCATAGTATTTATTAAATCTAAAACAAAACAAGTTTAATTCTTTAACACCTATTTCCTTTATTGTGCACAAAGTAGAAATAATCATGTTTTATCTTCAACTCTTATATTATTCTGGATTATATACGACTGCAAGTTAACTAATTCTACAGTAATAACTTTGGAAAGATACCTTGGCAAGTTTATAGTCACAGATCAGGTCACCCAACTTTTGAAGAAGGACTGGGGCATCTTCCTAAGAAAATATCAAGGCAAATAGGATAATCAGTGTCAAAAGGTAAAATGCAGATTTACAATGCATTGCAATATATTTGCCAAAGAACATCGATAGATAGATAGACGCCATATGTATTCAAATATGTGACTACTACTTTATTGTTAATAATGTCACTTTACATAATACACCAAAAGGTTCAATGAAACTACTATGTAAGACTCATTACAAGATTATTGTTTTGGTGTGTTATCTGGGTCTAAATAGAAATATACTATTACAGTTTATACAATACCTTAAATAATTCTTGAAGACAGCTGGTTTGTGAAACAGAGGCAGCATCTTTAGTAAAAAGTAGGTAAATCAGATTAATTGATTACACACAAATATTGTTATTTTCATTGAACGTAGTGATATATGTAAATATAAAAGAGAAAACATAAATGTCTGTTTTTGCTCTGCAAATAAAACACAAAAGTAGGAGTATATATATATATGTATTACAAAATGACAACATCAGTCAATATGTGATAAAAATATGGCGGAAGGATGGAAAATGGGGTCAATAAGGTATTGTACAATGATTTGGGAGAATGCCAGCATGTGTGATATGTTTAGGTATGTTTAGGGAAATGTGTTATATGAATGTATGGAGAGGACAATAGTATACATAATATATAAAATAAATATTCCATAATTTGACTTCTTAATAACTTATTATTCATTGTATTTCATTTTATTTTATTTTTTAAAATTTTAACTATATTGCTCTAGTACAATATTTTTTTTCCCTGCTCATAAAAAAGTAACAAATATATATGTTTTTGGTATATATGGATACTGATGTCAAAAATATATTGTATAATAAAGTTATTGTTTCATCTGCACCTAGCTGGATATTATGACTTGTTGCCAATGTGTAGCTTTGAAACTTTCTAAGCAAGGTTTGCTAAAAAGACAATTGGAGTGGAAAATTAAACCACAGTGTAAACCACAGTCTACATTATATAAAATAAAATCTATTATTCAACTGTTCTTCAAACTATCTTTTTTTGATTTACATTTTTTTTTTTTTTTTTACCACAAATCACTGTTTGGTAAATAAATGCTATAGTGTAAATTGTATCTGTCACGGTTGCTAACTAAACAGTACATGTTGAAAATTAAAAAGAGAATTTCATATTTTTGAAATGGGTATTCAAATTAAAAAATCCAATAAATACAAACAGTGTAATTTGGCTTATAATTTGAAAATTTCTGGTCTATTCCCGACAATTTACAGTTTGATAAATAACCCAATGAAATTATTATTTAAAAATGTAGTACTGTCTTGCAGCTTGCATATTGTTTAACTACTTACAAATGGTGCATACATATTTTATGTACCTATATGTTTTTTTAGACTGATTCGTTTTAAAAAGGAAATCCAGTATTGTTGTAGTTGGATTTGCTAAAATATATGAAATATATGTCTAATTCCATTATAATAGTCTGCAATCCACTCTGTTCCTTTAAAAAGGTATTAAAAAAAGTATTAAAAAAAACTCACCAAAGCAGCTGCTAAAAGCTACCACTAAAAAGACAACAGCGATTTTCATATTGGATGATGGTACAATTCTTCTCCTGCACTTCAATACTGTGTTACGTTGTGTGTAAAATAATAGTGCACAGTGAGAGTATTTATACAATAGAAAAATGTGAAGGGCATGCCATTCCTTCCAGTTATACAAATATTTCCCAGTATCTTACTAAAGATCTATGGGAAAAGAACAACATAGTATGTATACACCATTTTATTTGTTATTCTTTTGATAAAGACGAAGGAGAATCAATTAGCAGCATTGTTAAGCTTTTAATATAACTTACACTAAAGGGATTTTCAATTAATCAGTCCTTAATCAAATATTTATTTAGATAATTAAATCTTAATATCGTGCAACTAGTGTAATATCTGTATTGATGTGGAAAATACAGCACATTGTATTTTCCATTTCAGTAACTCTACTAAAACATCATTCAAAGACACGTCAGTAAACTAGAAACGTGTGTACTCTAGAACATATTAGTAGGAAATATAGTTAAATGAACATCTTATTTAAACAAATAAAACAATTTAGTAGATGTACCATGGCCTCTTGAAATGAGCTCAACGGAGCTAAACTACCAGGAAGTAACAAGACTTGCTATCTGATTGACAGCTAAGGGGGCCGCGACACATTTCTTTAAAAAAGTGCTGATTTTCATTGAAATTATCACATTTATAAAATGGAAAAAAAAGAGTTGAAACAAGCTGACGTGATTTATATGTTTTTAGTGTTACTTTTATGTAAATATCAGATCCTTACCTAGTATTCAACTTAAACTAGAGGCATAATGCTCAAAAAAGCATTAAAATATATGCATGCAGTATTCCATAAGACAGTAGCAACAGCAGAACAGAAGTCCATCTTGCTTATTTGGAGTTTATTTATTTTTTCCTATGTCTGTGATATACCACAGCAACAATGGTAAACACTTATTTCAGCTACACCAAAGATACATGACTTTAAAATGCCAGAAGATGCCAAAATAGAATCTCATTCAAGATTTCAAATGTCTGCTGGGAGTTGGTGATCAGACAATACCACTGGTGCCTGTTTGGTACACAATGGATGAAACAGGAACATTGCAGTAGAAATGCCTATTAAAATGCAATTATTAAGATTTTCTAAAATAAATTCTTCACATCTTACAGAGAATGTTAAAGTAACTAAGATGGTTATTTGTAGTTACATATTTATTATATGAAAATCTTTTTTATTCGCCAATAAACATATTACCTCCTGGTCAAAAGTTGTCCATGGAGTCTAACGATAAATTACTGTGGAACATGAAATACTTTTTGAGTCTATTTCCAAATGACCTTAGTGAAACAAAATTAGGTTTTCTTAACCCAGGGCCACAGCAGTTTATAATGACTTTAGATGTTGCTTTGTTGTACAATAATATTGTTGTGTGTTGTGTTGGTTATCACTGAAATATCTCTAATTTTGTTTATCAATGTGTACAGTACATTTCATTTAACCCCTTAA